ACACCGATTCCTTTTCTCTCTTTGTTACCAGTGACCAAACAGATCCTTTTAACCGTAGTCCCCTCACCATGGACCAGATCCGGCCAAACACTGAACTGAAAGAAAAAATTCAACGATGGCTTGCAGAAAGGAAACAACAGAAGGAGCAACTTGAATAAATACTGTGAACTAAACAAACCAAAAGGCAACCGCCAAGTGTAGATAAACAATTGCTTGTGGTCTCCCTCTTTCTGGTTCTGTTGCTTTCTTTTCCTTTGTTTTTTCCCCTTTCACGAAATTAGAAAACTACTATTGCTCAAATTACAATGATTAAGATTTCCTAACAGCAGCTGGGCATGGTAGTACATGCCTGTAATCCCAGCACTTGGGAGGCTGAGGCAGGAGAATCATTCTGAGTTCAAGGCCAACCTGAACTGCATAGTAAGACCTTGTCTCAAAAAGACAAGAAAAAAAAAATTCTGAAGAACTTGTCAGTGTTCCCCTGGCTTTCAGGAAATTACACTTTCTTACAGTATCACCCAAGTTTAGAAGCCACCACTAACTTTCAGCTTTTATCCTCTCTTCTTTCTTTTCCCACCTTAAATTATATTTTTAAGTCTATTGTCACATATAGAGTAACAGCTGATATCAGAAAATCCTACATTAGTCTACATATTTACAGATCCTCATAATCTGGATTTAAACCCTTGTTAAAATTCTAAAATGTTAAAGTAACTTTTCACATAAAAGCAAATATGTTTGTATAGACTTTTGAACAATGTTGGTAGCTCTTAATTTTGTGTTAAAACTCAAGTGTCTGTATTACAGACATTTTCTCATGAGGTTGTCACCACCAAAAATGTAGCCCTGCAGCCTTTTCGTGAGGATTACTAATGACAAATTTGCAATATTGACACTTCAGTCAGAAAAAATTATGGGGAGAGGGAATAAATAGGAAGCTGTTGGGCCTTTTCTTCTTTTATGAAAAATCTGTTGCTATAAGGAGTAGGCCTGAGCAGAAAACTTAGGCAACATATATTGTAGCCACACAAAATGTCATTTTACGGCACCTATCAGTAGTGTATCTCTGTGTATTGTGTATATGCACATGCACACACTTACCATGTGCTTTTATTGGTCCAGTGTAAACTACCAGTTTATCTCTTCATGGTAAGAATGTAAACAGTGTGTGGCTATGCTTACTCACATACTCCAGACAATAAAATCTGAGACTATAAAATGTATATAATTAATGTTTAGGCTGTGACCTGACTTGTAAAAGCTGCTTCTAACATAGCCCTAGGTCATCAGTTAACAAAGTAGGAATGTGAGCAAAACCTTATCCACAAGCCATGTTAATTACACCCTGAACCCTAAGCAGAACTCTCTGCTAAAAAGGCAGTTTAACCTGCTGAATGAAGCAGTCCCCAGTGGACTATCTTTATATTGGTGTCCAGCTAAGCTCACAGATATTATAGGGACAAGAAAAGTAATTTAGAAGTAGGGGTCAAAAAAGAGACTTTATAGTATTTCAACACGTTGCTATAAATGGTCCTTAATGTATTTTAATGGTAATCGGCTGCAAAACCTCAAATCTAAGATGACCTGATGTAAAATAGATGCTACTTATGGCTGTACTTATAAATGAAAAAGAAAGACTGGGACACTTTTGTAAATGCTAGAATGTAAGAGTGATTCATTGTGCCCGGTGGGCCTTTAAAAGATGTGTTGACAGGATTTATTTTCTTAAAATGAGTTTCATATTTATTCTCCTTTCCCTCTCTGAGAATGAGCTGTGTATAAAATTAGGCTTCCACCTACTTGCATTTATCTTCCAATCCAAATCTATCAGTATCATTCTAAAAAGATCAGAGTGTTGCAGGAGAAAATTGCAAGAAAATGGGCCCGAAAACCTCAGAAAGCAGCTGTTCCCAGCAGCTTTCTAGCTAACAACCTCTATGCTGCCTTCTACTATCTGTATTCTTTTGTGATTAGCCTTCAGATTGTAATCCTCTTGTAGCAAGCATTTTTGTTTTGTTCTTTATAAAGCTTGGGCTTTATGAATGGCTGTGGCAACACTGATGCTGCTGAATATCTTCAAATGCATCACAAAGCAAATGCATAGCTTAAGGCCACTATTCTCCTCTGTGCCTTCTTTCTGCAAGGTAGTTTAGGAACTTAAAAAGAGAGACTTTTAAAAAAATCCCATCTCAGTAAATGGTGCATATATACATTTGGAAGTGTAAAGAGGTATTTCATCTGGAACTCAGCAGCAACTCCAAATCTTTGTAAAAGTAGACTGACATACCTGGTTTGATGTGGTGGCTTTGCTGGGGTGTGTTAGGTAAATGAAGACTAATCAGCTCTGGTATTGCTCACAGCTTACCAAGAGTCTGGAAGAAAACTGGGAAATTACTTAATGGGCTTTGTCAAGCAGTCAGTTTTGTGCATTTTTTTTAGTAGCTTCTAGTAAATACATAAAATCTGAAGGAAACTTTAGAGGTATTTTAATAGTGCACATGAAGGTGCCAGTTCTTGTTCAGTATCACATTCTACAAAAGCTTCATCACTTTATTTGATGGTGGTTGCTAAGCAGCCATTTAAGAGTATAAATCTACTTGACAAGACAGAGACTGATGCTACACTGTTGTCATGGGAGGAGTTACTGCACATATTCTAACTGCTAAATAGGAAAGTAACTTAAAAATGAAAGTGAAGAGGAAAAAAAAAAGGTTGACTGAAATAAAACTTGATTTAACTGTGTTTTGAAACATTCCAGGAAGGTAACTTTTTGTCAAACTTGCCTGGGGGGTGTTTGTTCAAAACTTGTATTTAATAAATGAACACCTGACTTACAACTTTTGTTATCATTTTTATTGCATATTAAAAGCTAGTAGTTTTAGACTGGGCATAGTAGTGTGTGCCTGTAATCCCAGCTCTTGGGAGGCTGTACAGAGGTGGATCACTACGAGTCCAATCTAGTAGTAAGACCCTGAACTCCCTGTAGACCCTTCCCTAAAATTAAAAAAAAAAAAAAAGCTAGTACTTTTAGAAATAGAGCTCTCTGAGAGTCTGGGTACTCGATAGGTAGTGTCAGACTTGTGTCACTTGCCCAACCTGCTCACCACATCTCTCAAGGGGACCCTGGAGTTATCCTCATTTGAGTCTCAAGGCTTTTCCCCCCTAATTAGCTCCCTTTGGCTTCACTTTTCCTTATCTGGCCTAAAACCCGGGCCTTTTGTTTCAATCATTTGCTACCATGTTCCCCTTTCTTGCCCATTGTTTCTATATCCCTACCATGCAAAACTTCAGCCTAGATGAATCCCCAGCCAACCTCTCAGCTCCATACCAAGCTATGGACTAAGATCAAAACGGTCTTGTGCTCTTAACACTGCTCAACAGCCCTTCTGTGTGTATCCTTAACCTCTCTTCAAAATTAGCCTCCCAATTACTCCTTCCACACAGACGCAAGTGCCTTTTACTTTAGTGGCAAGACAGACGTAATACCACCCACCTGCAACAAAGGCCCCCAATTCCCGGGCAAATTTCTTCACCTTTTGTTGCCTCAGAACTCTCAGTTTCCCATGTCTTAGCAATTTCTCCCTGAATTCCACATGCCCTTATGCTATGACTGTATTTCCTCTACAGCCATACTTCACATTCACTCTGGCTTCTATTCTAAATTTCAAAGCTGCTCTAGTTAACATATTGCTGAATTAATTTTCCTGTCCTTCATTTGACTACTCCGCAGTACCTAAGGCATTAAATCACCCCCTCGTTAAAACACTCTTGGTGCCTTTGATGTCACTTCTAATTTTCCTTTCTGCCCCACTGACCATTCTATCAGCTTTTCTTCTGCTTGGGTCTCTGGAATAAATTACTTATAGTTCTGTTCTTTTCGTCGTCACTTCTTAAAAGTTTCATCCTTCACTGTTTGCTTAGACATCAACTCACAGATCTCTAGAGATCTTTCCAGATAACGCTCATGTCTTATCTGAACGGACGTTCCCCTGCTGGGTTTAGGCTGCAACCTCTTCAGATCGCGGACGCTTCCACTCCATAGCCACGGGACACACAGGTCTCGGGGTATTACAATACCCAACACACGGGGCCAGGGAGATGGCTCAGTAGAACAAGTGCTTCCCTGGCAAGTGCAAGGGCCTGAGTTCAATCCCCAGTTCTGCCAAAAAAATAAAAAATAAAATAAAAAGAATTGTCCCCCAAAGCAGAGGAATTAATTTCAGAATAATTTAAAATACCCAACACACAGGCTCTCGTTAAATTCCAAAATACCTGGCACATGAGAGGCCCTCAGTAAACGTGTATCGTTCCTCTCATCTACATTGCTCCCTTCGTGCGCTAGGTCAGAAAATTACGTGAATTGGATTCCAACACTTAGGAAGCTGGAGAAAATTCCATTACAAAAAGATCAACTAAAGGAAGAAACTGAGGCCCGACGCAGAGGCCCCCGCCGGAAATCTCAGCACTCGGGAGGCTGAGGCAAGAGGACTGCGCAAATTCGAGGCCAGCCTGAGCTGCAGAGCTACACCCTGTCTCAAAGACAGAAAAAGAAAGAACGGAGGAACTGGGCTGAATCTGACAACTTATGTAATGCCTGCTTTGCATCTAACTTCACAGAATACGCTTGGACCTCCCCCGAAGGGGAGTTCAAAAGACGCTTAAAGATGCCGCTCCTCACTCGAGAGTGAAGGGCTGCGCTCAGAAAAGCATTGCGCATGCGCACCTCCTATTCGTCAGCATTCTGGGCTCCTCGCGTGGCTGTCCCAAGATATGCCTGTTTCTATGTGGAATTCCATTGCTTTACAACCCCATTGTCTTAACCCGTACCCATCCTCTAATCACATTTTTCTCCATGGCCTTTCTCCTTCTAGACTAAATAAGATACACTAATCGTCTAGATTCCACAAAGATGTCAAAACACCTGACTATCTGGGACCGGCGCGAGACAGGGCAGCCTGATCTCTGAGCTGGGACGGGGTCTTGCAGTGGGTCCTTCCCGGGGGTGACATTCAGCCGGCTGTAGGTGCACTAGCCCTTCCACCGTAGAACTATGGCCCAGTTCGTCCGAAACCTCGCAGAGAAGGCCCCGGCGCTAGTGACTGGTGAGCGCTGTGAGCCTGGCGAGGCGGGGGGGGGGGGGGGGGGGGGGGGGGGGGGACGGGCGACGGGAGGCGGGCGGGGGTCCGAAGGCTTAGCGGACTTCCGTACTCGAAGAAGAAACAGCCGGGGCCTGACGGCCTGAAGCTGTGGAGGACAGGAGCCGGGTTTAAGACCTTCTTCTGGCTCTTCTCTTACCTGGGCTGCACGCTGGGGTCTCTTTACAACTTAGAAGTTGCTGAGTTAGAGCCCGCAGTTGCCGGGCAGTTGCCGCCATGACTCCCACGTACACGTCTTAAGTTCAGGTATACCAAAATGATGGCTCGTTAGGAGAGCTGGAAAAAGTACGCCAAAAAGTAGCAGGTGGCGTGGACGATTTGAAAATCAACAGAAATGCTTAAGGATACATGCGCTTTGAACGTTGGCTTTGCTTTCTGACCTGGCCAGATCCTGACTACCTTCGTTTTAATGCGAGGGAGGTTATAGGTGGAAATAGACTTTATGGATGAGTATCCCAGTCCTTTAGTAAGCATAAAAAGATATTTGTGAACCGAAAATGGTGGTGCAAGCCTATAAATCTCAGCACCCAGGAAGCAGAGACAAGAGGGTCTCCGAGAGAGTTCGAGACCAGCCTGGGCAGTAGTGTGAGTTCAAGGCCAACCTGAACTGCATAGCTAGACCCTGTGTCCAAAACAATTATTCATATAAACTGGAACTTACGTTAGTATAGCTTAGCATACACAGATTTTTCCCCCCACTTTGAAGAATCTGGTAGGAACTGTATTTCAGAACAGCAGCCCTGAATAGTCACAGGCCTGAATAATAATATGCTCTGTCGGTAAATATTTCGTTTGCTAATTAATAGTTGCTCATTTTATTCCTGAAAGAAGGCAAATTGATGTTAAGTTTTTTCACTAGATGGGGCTTTGTGATTGTATGTTGGTTGGTTGGCTGCTTTTTTAAGACAGATTCTCTCTAGGCTAGCCTGAAAGTCACAAGGATCCTCCTGCCTCAGGCTCCAGAGTGCTTGGGGCCACAGATGTGGTGTATTGTACTAAATATTTAGAGGTCAGATCTCTAAATTGCTTCCATTCAGATTTGATTGTGAAATACGAATAGAAAGCAAAATTTCAAGAAATCCGTTGGTTTTGAGCATATTTTTCTGTATTTGATATTTTTTTAAATTACTTCTCCATCATCAGGCAAACAGTAAAACATTGAAGACCTTACAGTGCTATGTACTGTTGATGCATTATTCCTCTTATGGAGGTCAGATCTCTACCTTCTCACTAGATCTAGTAGTGAGACAGTTTATCCATTGTCTCACTATACAGTCTAGTAGACAGGCTGTTTATACAGTACCGCAGGTGATCTTGCATTCGAAACTTTTATTTTACTAAGATTATTGAATTAAGGAGAAGGCTTTACTCTTTGGGTGTTGGATGGCTTAAGGCACAGTTTCAAGTGGGTTTTTGTCCTACGATAGTTTTCACATCTTCTGAGTTGGTGCTGAACCTGTGGCACATGTGCTGCAGCAGGCTGCCTGTATCACTGAAAGCTCTAAAAGGTTTCCATCACTGTTCCAGTTGGTGCATACTGGGGAACTGAAAACTAGTTTGCAATAAAATCGGAAAAGAAAAATAATATCAAAATAAATTTTTGTTACCCTTCAGAAGTACCCAGAAAGGAAGACTCAGATGGGACCAGAATGTTAAAGCAGAAACATGTTTATATGTTTCTTTATATCACAGGCCTGTGTATTAAATATGAATGTTACATGTTTGCTAAATTATCAATTAATGTCTGTACATTCCCTAAAGGACAAAGAAGCTTATATTTCTTCTTCTTTTTTTTTTTTCCTTGTGGTACCAGGCACTGATCTCAAGACCTTGCACTTGCCAGGCAAGCACTTACTCTACTGAGCTGTCATCCTGGCCCTTAAAAGTTGAGGATTTTTTTTTTTTTCTTTTGCCTGGCTCAGGCTGCCTTTTAATTTAAGCACAGATCTGGTAAGGCATGATGAGCTGGGGATTGAACCGCAGTATCCTGCATAAGCAATCCAAAGAAGCTTATAGAAAAAAATAATTTTATCACATTTCCCAGGAAAGATTATGATAGAGTCTGATTTTCTCCCTTCCCTAAACAGTACAGTTTACCTGAATTTCACCAATTTTTCCTTTAATCACTTTCAGTTTAATGATACAATACAAGATACCACAGTACATTTCAGTTGTCCCATTTCTCAGTTTCCACTGATTTATGATGATTTCAGTTCTTTATATTTCATGACTTTGACTTTCTTGAAGTATTGGTCTTTTTTGAGACAGTCTCATTATAGAGCTCAGGCCTTGAGTTCACATTTGTATTCCAGGCTGGTCTTGAACTTAGAACCGGTCTCCTCTCTCCCAGATGCTGGGATTATGGACATGTACCACCACATCTGGCTATCTAGATACTCTGAAGAGTATTCCTCCATGTAGATTTATCTAGCGTTTTGTGATTAGTATAGAACAATAGATTTTGAGAAAATACCAGAGTCGAGGTGCCCTAATGACATATCAGGAGGTAATACCATGTAATATACCAGGAGGCATATCCATGTAGTACCACTGATGATACAATTTTCATTGCTTGGGTAAGATAGTGTTTGATAGGTTCTAGCACTGTAAAATTACTTTCCCCTTCCAAGTCTGCTCTTTAGAAGTAACTATGTCTAATGCATAGGGTAGGTTTGCAGCCCAGGTGGGAGAGGATCCATCTCCTGTAGAATGCAGTTTCTAACTGGTTGTAGTGATGCATACATATAACCTCAACACTGGGGAGGCTGAGGCAGGAGGATTTCAGAGAGTTCAAGGCCACCCTGAACTACAAGAACTTGTCTGTAGGGGCTGGGGAGATAGCTCAATTCAACCCCTGCTTCCACCAAAAAAAAAAAAAAAATTATCTTATTATATACAGAAAGGAGTCTCTATATATAATAAGTGGAATTCTGTAAAAAAATAAAAAACCTTTTATTCAGTCATTTATTATAATGACTCATTTAGATTTTTTCCAAACTTTCAATAGCAGTGCTATGTTTTTCTTTTT